TGTGCCTCGCTCCTGGATGTTTTTGGGTGCCCATGGCTGTTCTGGGGTGCCCATTCTCACTCCCAGGTGTTTTGGGGTGCCCTTGGCAGTTGTGGGGTGCCTGTGCCAGTTCTGGGCTGCCCGTGGCAGTTGTGGGGTGCCGGTGGCAGTTTTGGGGTGCCCGTGGGTGTTTTGGGGTGCCCTTGCCAGTTCTGGGGTACCCGTGCCAGTTCTGCAGTGCCCATGGCAGTTCCTCAGTGCCCGTGGCAGTTGCGGGGTGCCCGTGGCAGTTTTGGGGTGCCCGTGGCTGTTCCGGGGTGTTGCTGGGTGCCCGTGGCAGTTCTGGGTGCCCGTGCCAGTTCCCTGGTGCCCGTGGCAGTTGTGGGGTGCCCGTGGCTGCCCTGGGCTGTTGTGGGGTGCCCATGCCTGTTCCTGGGTGCCCGTGGCAGTTCCATGGTGCTTGTGGCTGCTCTGGGGTGCCCATGCCAGTTCCGCGGTGCCCGTGGCAGTTCCCCGGTGCCCGTGGCAGTTCCGTGGTGCCCGTGGCAGTTTTGGGTGCCCGTGGCAGTTCTGGGGTGTTGTGGGGTGCCCGTGGCAGTTCTGGGTGCCCGTGGCAGTTCCGCGGTGCCCGTGGCTGCTCTGGGGTGTTGTGGAGTGCCCGTGGCAGTTCTGGGTGCCCGTGGCAGTTCTGGGTGCCCGTGGCAGTTCCCCGGTGCCCGTGGCAGTTCTGGGTGCCCGTGGCTGCTCTGGGGTGTTGTGGGGTGCCCGTGCCAGTTCCCTGGTGCCCGTGGCTGTTCCGTGGTGCCCGTGGCAGTTCTGCGGTGCCCGTGCCAGTTCCCCGGTGCCCGTGCCAGTTCGCGGTGCCCGCCGCCCGCGCCCCGACGCGCCCGCGCTGTGCCCGCAGTGTCGTTCGTGCTGTCGAGGATGTCGGGGTGCGGGGGCCCCGCCAAGAGCCGGGTGACGGTGCCGAAGCGCGTGTGGGAGTTCGTGACGCGGGAGCGCGCGGCGCGCCTGGCGCTGCTGGCGCAGGAGGCGCGGGTGCGGATCCTGGTGGACGGCGAGACCCCCGAGCTCTACGTGCTGCAGCTCTGTGCCACCCCCCCGGGCGGCGCCGCGCTCTGCCCGGCGCGCAAGGCGCTCAAGGCGCTGCTCAAGGAGACCGAGAAGGAGCTCAAGAAGCGCGGCCAGCGGCCCGCGGAGCCGCCGGGGGCGCGGCCGGAGCCGCCCGCGGGCGCGGCCGGCTGCCCGGGCGCGGCGCGGGACGAGGAGCCGGAGCGGCAGTGCCCGATCTGCCTGGGCGAGATGCGGGGCCCGCGCACGCTGGAGCGCTGCCGCCACTCCTTCTGCGGGGAGTGCATCGCCCGGGCGCTGCAGGTGCGCTCCGCCTGCCCCGTCTGCGGGCGCTTCTACGGGCAGCTGGTGGGCAACCAGCCCCCCGACGGCCGCATGCTGGTCAGCCGCGACGCCGCGCTGCCCCTGCCCGGCTACGAGGCCTTCGGCACCATCATCATCCAGTACGTCTTCCCGCCCGGCGTGCAGGGGGTGAGTGCGGGCACGGCCGGGCGGCTGCCGGGGAGGGCTCTGCCGTCGTGCCCGCTGATCCCAAATCCCCTGGGTGGCCCTGGCCCAGCCCCTGTGCCCCCAGTGCCCCGATGGTGCCCCCAATGCCCCAGGTTCAGCTTGGTGCCCCTGGTTGCCCCAATGGTGCCACCAGCGCCCCAGGTTCAGCCCCGTGCCCCCAATGCCCCAGGTTCAGCCCCGTGCCCCCAGCGCCCCGATGGTGCCCCCAGCACCCCGATGGTGCCCCCAGTGCCCCAGGTTCAGCTTGGTGCCCCTGGTTGCCCCGATGGTGCCCCCAGCGCCCCAGGTTCAGCCCCGTGCCCCCAATGCCCCGATGGTGCCACCAATGCCCCAGGTTCAGCCCTGTGCCCCCAGTGCCCCGATGGTGCCCCCAGTGCCCCAGGTTCAGCTTGGTGCCCCCAGCGCCCCGATGGTGCCCCCAATGCCCCAGGTTCAGCCCCGTGCCCCCAATGCCCCAGGTTCAGCCCTGTGCCCCCAATGCCCCGATGGTGCCCCCAATGCCCCAGGTTCAGCTCGGTGCCCCCAATGCCCCTGGGTGTCCCCAAATCCTGCTGAGTGTCCCTGGCATCCCTGGGTGCTCCAAAACCCTGATGGGTGCCCCAGCCCAGTCCTGTGCCCTCAGTGCCCCTGGTTGCCCCAAATGCTCCTAGTCCACTCTGTGTCCCCAGCACCCTTGGGTGCCCCCAAGTCCTGATGAGTGCACCTGACTGTGGCGCTGGCACCCCTGGGTGTCCCCAAATCCTGTTGGGTGGCCTGGCATGCTGCTGTGTCCCCAGCACCCTCAAGTCCTGATGGACGGCCCTGGGTGTCCCCAAACACCCCTGACCCAGCTCTGTGCCCCCCATGCCCCTGGGTGCCCCCAAACCCTGCTGGGTGTGCCCAGCATCCCTGGGCTGCCCACACATCCTGGCAGGTGTCCCTGGCTGTTCCCAAATCCTTTTGGGTGTTGCTGGCACTCCTGGTGTCCCCAAATGCCCCTGTGTCCCTAACACCCCTGGGTGCCCCAAACTCTGCTGGGTGTCCCCAGTCCTGATCCCCGTCCCTCCCATCCCTCTGTCCCCCCGTCCCTCGCCCCTGACCCCCCCGGGCAGGTGAAGAATCCCCAGCCCGTTTTCCTGTCCCCTGTCCCCTGTCCCCTGTCCCCTGTCCCCTGTCCCTCTGTCCCCTGTCCCCTGTCCCCCTGTCCCCTGTCCCTCTGTCCCC